TTGTTTGCATTCTCTAGAAAAATTTACTCAAACTGCCACTACAAAACTGCAGTTTGCATTTACTAGCAGAAACTCTCCAGAGCGTCAGGATCAAAATTCCACCTGCACTGGTAACACTTCACAGAATAATTTTTCTACCTGAAACTGATACTATGAGCTGCTGTGGCTGGGGTTATCACAAGGTACCAAACTTTAAAACAAAGTGAGTGCAAAACCAACAGGAAATAGATCTAGGACTGACAGCAACTGACTGGGACAACCAGGTAGGGGAAACTGCAGCCGGAACCTAGTGGAAAAGAGAAAAGGATCTGGGATTTGGGGCCAAATATGGAGCAGAAATGACTGGGAGAAGTTGGCAAGACTAGAGTGCAAATCAGGGAAGAAGGTAGATGGGAATGGAGTGCTGGGAATGGAAGCTCTTGATGAGATGGGGTAAAAAGTAGTAATTCTGGCATTTCCAATTTTAAAAGCCTAAATTTGCATCCCTAACAATAACCAGATGTAGGACACTTGCATATGTTTTAGACAACATGCACACATTTATTATAAAGGGGAAAGAATATGTGCAGTATCATGTCTTGTCATTAAAATCAGAAATGGTGCTTGGACACTGAGGTGTGTGGCAACTGAATATTGCCCTTCTGAATTATCTGCTCATCACAGGTGTGCTGATACACCAAATACAGATGTAAGTTAATCAGGAGCTAGATGATCTCCACTAGCATTTCTAACACACAGTGCATTGGTTGTTATAAATACCCTGAGCTCAAAAAGAGCCAGTAATCAGTCCTAATGAGAATACGTGCTTTTTTTTTTGATAGATCTAGGCAATCTGTGGGTCTGCAAAGTGTTGCTAGGAATCGCTAGGGAGAGCTGAGAGCAGAGAAATTGACTGTGCTGGGGTTGGAAGTTGCTGTTTTCCTCCATTATGCCACCAACAGGCGCAAGGCTTTCTTCTCACTCTCAATAAAATCATAATCAGCATCGCTCTTCCCACATGCACACAGCTTTCTGGATCAGGCTAGGGGTTCCCTATGGAGACACCAATATGGGGGAACTGTTGCATACAGTCAGTTAATTGTGGGGCTGTCAGCAGTGGTGTCAGTCTCCATACTGACTGCCTCTGCAGAGGCTGGGTCTGGTGCTGGAGCGAGCTACATTTACATGTCAGCTTTGTCCTAGCTCTTGGTTGGGATAGAGAGATTTGGAGGCAGGCAGCACAGACACTAGCACTGCTGTGGGTTCTTGGTCACCTGGCAGCTTGCAGCAATCTCCATCCAGTGTTTCGAAGCTGTGATGAGTGAAACTGAGAGAAGTGAAGAGATGGCAAAAATTTACTTTGCCAGGTTTCTGTAAGGAGCAATGGGGAATTAGGAAGGATCTTTACAAGCTCCCAAGAATTGTAACTCAACAGTATCCTCTTTCAATCCTTTTGAACGTGAGGAAAAATTTCTTTACTGAAAGAGTGGTTAAACATTGGAACAGGCTGCCCAGGGAAGTGGTTGAGTCACCATCCCTGGAGGTATTTAAATGACGCGTAGATGTGGCGCTTAGGGACATGGTTTAGTGGGCATGGTGGTGTTGGGTTGATGATTGGACTCGATGATCTTAGAGGTCTTTTCCAACCTCTATGATTCTATGATTCATTTTAGCCATAAGCCCTCTTAGTTCAAGAAAAGGGAACAAGATCCAGGGAATGCCCCAACCCTTCCTACTTTTCCAAGACTGCTATAGAAATGACTGCAATTTATGTTCAGAGCAACTTGGGCACTGCAATGACTTGCTAAGATGGAGAACTGAAGCAGAGAAAGGTAATGCATCTTGTCCAAGACTATCCTGAATGCCTTCAGCAGAGACAGAAATCAAGCTCAGATCACCTGGGTCTCAGTCCTGAGGTTTAACTGTAAGGCACTCACTCTTCTTGCCTAGTGACAATTCAGGATGGATTGGACAATATCTACCATGCTGAAACACTGCGAGGCAGTATGCTGGGAAGAATTGCTGTGAAAAGAGACAGGGGCATGTCTCTGCATGCCATTGCCTGGATGGGTAAAGAGGAGGAAGAGCTGAAAAGATCTAAAATAATAGAAGCAGCTTCCTACCACATCTTCCACTTCCTTCCTTGTCTGCTGTTTGCTCACAGACCTCACCTGCTCCTGGAGGAATGCAGAGACTCACTGTGTTACTCTGGCATTTCAAGGACCATCTCTCCATGAGACTGCCTTGCTGTGCAATTTCTGCTGTAAGCAGAATTATTCCTGCAGACCCTACACACAGCTCCTCTTCCCCTCAAGGGTCTAAAGACACATGTTTAAAACTACCGACTTATTCCTCTGTGCTGTGTATATGCAGGATTTGCGCAATATACATTTCCAGCAATGGGGATTCATTACAATCAAGGCCCAATGTGCAGTCTGTCAGTGACAAATTATGTCAATGAAACAGCAAGTCCATCCTTACCTCCCTCTCCTACACAAACACAACTGGATTGAACTTTTATTGTTTTCTCCAGGTAGCCATCAATGCTACAGAAAACCGTGCAGATCTAAGGAATAGCTCCCAGAAAACACTGACTCTGAGGTATGCAATACAGCATACTTCAGGCTACGTGATTATCTTCATGAGGCCAGTCAAGGCTCTGTGGTGACCTAAAGCCTACCCAAATTTTGGACTAAACTTAGCAGTTCACTTGTGACAGCAAAGAATTTTGACTGCACTCTAACCACTCTGCTGTACTGACAAAGTTAGCTGCATCACATGGCTCAATGCCATCTGATCCTCCCACTCTGACTGACAGAAATACCTGGAGACTCCTTGCGCGACTGTAAATGGAAATGTTACAGTTTCATCTCATTATCAGTGTTCATAGCACAGATAAAACCATTCTGGAAATTAACTTCTGGGTGCACGGAGGAGCATCTCATTAAAGCTCAGTATCTCAGCCATGATTCACTCTGTTTTGTTCCTTTTCACGCTGGCTGAAAGTACCAACTACAAGGGTAGGTAAAACTGTTGCCTTGAAAAGCTCTGAGGTTGGTTACTGTGTGTGCTCCAAGGGAAAGGGAGTCATAACTGGATTGCCTTTCTTTGTGAACAGTATGGCATATTGTTATATATTCCTTCCTTCCTCCCTTCACCCCCCAAACCAGAGAGATCACAAGACACCAGTATCAGCCATGCTGGGCTCCATGCCAGGAGAATTAATGAAGTGGTGTAATAGCTCACACGGAGGCCTAGTGATTGGCACCACACTTGAAATGCATCTGCAACGCAGGAGATCATAGTGTTGCTGCTGTGTTCTGTTTATTACGGGCACATCTCTTCTGTTCCATTGATTTCTTTATTAGCGCGTTTTAAGGCCGTGATGTCGGTGCTGGCTCTGCTTGAAGCATGGAGGTTTGAATTCCAGCGCAGCTTATGGAAACGAAGTCTCCCTTTGAGACTCTAGACCTGGATGACAGAGCCCAGTGCTAACAAGTACAGGAACCCTACCGAGAGGTTCCCGAGGAGTTTGAAGAATCCTACAGGGCAATGTGAGACTGGGTTGGTTTTTACACTTCCTCTTGTTTTTTTCATGGAAGGAAGGGGGAAAATTTTATCTAGAGTATAGAGGCTTTATGATAACTGCAGGGAGGACTTCATTTCCTGATCTAGAGGGGAGGTTTGAAAGCAGCTGCAAGCAACAGATGTGCAGACTCATAGCTCCTTGCTTTTCATCTGTGCTGCTAAAGAGGTCAAATCTTGACTTGACGTGGACAGGAAGGAATGGGTGGGTCTCAGTGTACTCATCAACCAGCATTGGATCACATCATGAACTTAAAATAATTTGCTATCCATTATTCATGACTTGGACAGCAGAGCTGTACAGCTCAGGACTGAGAGGCAGTGGCTGGGCTGTGCAGGGAACCACGATGCCTCCACGTCTACCCTGAATTGCCTTGGCTCAGAGCACAGACTGAAAAAACATGGACTGTAACCAGCTGAAGACAGGGCTGGCCTGGAGTCATCAGATTCACACTACCAAAGGCCAGGAAGAGTAGGTCTGTATGGGAGGAGGTGGAAATCTGCTGGTACTGTCTGCAACTCAATTGCTGAGCTCGCTGTTATAACAAATTCAGACACAGCTAAAAGCTGGCATAGTGGTGCCAGGCTGCAGCAGCTCAATGCAGCTGCTGCCCTTGCCACAGCTCACTGTGGCAGCCCCCTGCACAGTCAACACGCACCAAGCCATAGCTATGGGGGGTGGGGGAAGCATGGTCCAGTAGTGCCCCTAGAGGCGATGGTGATGAGAGGGCATTGCCCCCGGAGACCATGTCCTGTCCCCGGCCAGGCACCTGGGCTTTGCTCAGCTGTTGGGCTTATTGCTGGCTGCCTTGGAAATTCCTAGAAAGCTCTTGCTGGCAACTGAATTGCCATGGAAATGTTTTTAGAGTGCCCCTGCAATATTCCTCCAAGCAGTCTCCTTTGTATCTGCATTCATCCCCTGCTTGTAATTGCAAAGGACCCTGCTGCCTCCCTGTCAATCCTGCATGTGAGACAAAATGAAGCAGTGTGGAGCATGAACAGGAAGAGCTGCAAACAGGGAGCCTAATCAGGACATGCAAATTCCACTTCAGAACCCCTAGATTAGTTTTTTTTACCCCCTAATATTTTTAAAGCCTCTTCTTAAAACAGCCAACTCTACCGCTTTCAGTTCCCAAAATTGTATGGCCAGTGAAAGCAAACACACACCAGCGTATGCAGAAGAATCCAAGCCTGAAAGCCTTGATTTTTATATCCATATGTGACACCTGCAGAGGCCTGCTTTTCACTGCAAAGCACTTAAAAACCCCTTCTTTTAGCTATCTTATACACTACGTGCATCATATCAATTTATCATCTTGCTGGGAACTAACAACGCATGGTGTAAGTCTGCAGGTCTTTATTGAAACCCTTACTATAGACAACTTTTATGTCTGGACTCTATCACTGATTTTTGCAATATGTTCTGAGACACTCACCCACAACTGGTTTCTAACAAGCTGTCCCCAACCTGCAGTGATGCCATCCCGAAGTCTGCTATCCGGATGTTGTTCTTTTCATCCAGCAGTAGGTTTTCTGGTTTTAAGTCCCTGTGGCTGTAAAGAGAGGATCAAAATGTGAGTTAAATTATCTACGGCAGCTTTCCCACTCCAAAACTTGTTCTTTATCCAGCATAGCATCCAACCTATTATATTTTAATTGATTTCATTTTTTTTCCTGTCCCAGGCAGGAGAACACACATATCCAAGATCCAATCTTTGCAATACTCTAGACCATATCCCAAATGCCCACTCCTGATGAATGCAAGGCTTGAGCCTGCAGTGCTGTAACAGGAAACGAACATCTTCAACTTCCAGTGATACCAACACAATCTGAGGGAGAGACTGAGGGAAATAGGTAGGAGGAGAACTTCAGCTTGGATTTAGGGCTGATATACTCCAACACATGCCAGCTCCTTAAGGTAGAAGGCAACACTATCAATATATTCTGTCAACAACAGGAAACAAAATGAGTGATATCTAGAGAAAAAAACATCCTTGGTGTAAATGCTACTGCAAAAAGCCCCTATTAGGAGTTGTTTACATAGGCATATGGCTTTGAAATAATTTTGGGTAATTAGCTCTGATGGAGAAATCCCTTCAACCCAGCACTGCTTATAACTGAGGGTGCCAGCACCAGGAAGGAAGAGAGAGGATTCCCTCCTACCCGTCAAAGCTCGATTCTCTTATTGTTTGGCAACATGGGAAGAGCCAGGCAGCCATGATCTTCAGGATGGCAACTTCTGCTTGAAATCAAAGGTATCATATATTGACTAATTTATTAATCTCCACTACCCACAGCCAACACCACTGTGCACCCATGTCTGCTTCTTAGTACCCGTGCTTTTGTACAACTATTACATTTACTTGATTTTATATCCAAAGACAAAAATCTTGCACAAAATTTGTGATGACTTTGCTTTTTTTTTTATTTGCAATTCTTGAAGAGTCACAGAGATGAGAGAACCACTTTAGGCAGACTAAAGAAGAAGCTCTTTTCTTGTTTTTGCTTATGAGTAGGCAAAATGAGTCTTTGATGTCTTGCTAATAAAAGGTCCAAATATGAGCACTCAAACCTTGCAGGCAGAACGGCCAGCTTCAGTGCACAGTCAGAACACAAACCTGTGGGAAACGGTCAGCCGACAACATGTGCGAGTGTCAGGCAAACAACAGTCATTTGCAACAATGGTTCACTAAAACCAGTTACCCTGACCAGAAACTGAACTCAGCAAAAGAACCAGCGTTAGGATAGTCTAGTCCAGTGATACCCATAATGGAAGGCAGCCTTATCTTCATGCCATTTCCTCTTCACTTTTTAAGACATTCCTCTAGCATTCCTCAAGCATGCAAGTGTAATTCTACCTCTATACCACTGTAAAGGACAGTCTCTAGCCTCCCAGAAAAACATGAGAGGCATGACAATGTCTTGGAAATTATCTCCTCTGATCTGAAGAGAAGTCTGGAATGATCAGTTAGAGACAACTTGTAAATAATGCAGGTCAATTCTACGCAAAACCAGAGCACACTGTAATAGGACATCTGGGGAGAGTAACAGGTATTTCCAAAGGAGACTTCCAGCAAAATAGTGCACATTCAAAGCAGGCACTGGTCATTTACCTTATCACTGAGTCCTACGATTCCTTCTCCCTCACTTTTTAAAGAGCATAAAATTTGGTCTCCAATCTTGTAGAAACATGATGAACCCTGCATGTTAAACTGGCCTTGTTAACCATGGGCAAACAATCTGGTAGATAATGGAGCAGCATGATTCAGATTTGTGCGTATTTTCATCTGACAAAGCAAAAGGTGCTTTATCAAATCTATCTTTCTCATAGAAATCAAAGTTTCGAGGTAACTGGAGACAGAAGACTTGTTAGCCATATAATAACTATCAAGATAGTCATACCTACTTGACAAAAAAGCAGGAGATGAGTGACAAGGAAACGTTTCCAGAGGCAGTGAATTACCAGTTAATGGCCACAAAAAGAACCTCTGAATGCCATCATCAAGGACAGCAGTCCTGGACAAAGGCAAGATTGTCAACATCCGCCAAATCTGAACATACTCCAGCCCCAGCAGTGAAATGGAGTGAAGAGCCCACAGTCCTAAGGCAAGCTAGGAAAGCTTGGACACTAATGAGACAGTAGTGTGTGATTTAATCTTTCCTCCAGCAGACATCCTGGACAGTTCTCATCTTACAACTGGTTTCATTAATGGGGTGCTGGGAAGACGCACCTAAGTTCTCCTGTCTGAGGACTAGGGCTCAGCAGCAAACAACAGCTCCCTGTAAAGCAAGCAGTGCTTGTTTGATGCTATGAAACAAGAAACCTCCCCACAGCTCAAGTTGAGTCCATGTTCTTCTACTGTGCGTGGTTTTTCAGCGGCTATGGTTGTTTTTCAGTCTTGGTGACTGCTCCTGGCTGACTGCTGAACAGATATATGGTTTAGAAGTTGGGGGTGCTGCTGCCCATGCCTGTTCCACTGTTTGTGCACTGGCTGATACCATTCATACGTGTTCAGCCTATAGCAGGCATACTGCTGACATGTGCCTTTTGTACCTAAAAATTGAAATTCTTTGCTTATCCTAAAATTGTGTAGTATTTTTAGAGACAAGAGAACTTGAAGGAATGATCAAGGCACAGCATGACCTAAGCACAGGTCGTCCACAAGCGTTTCTCCAGCCTGGATGCATGCTCACTACAAAACATCTCATTATTTCAGGAAAATGGTACAGATAAAGGAAATGCAAAAATGCTCCCTTTCCATGCCTCAAAGCTACCAGCCTTAGCAGACCTGCCACAGGCCCTGGCTGGAGCAGAACGTATGTGAACCTTCAACCAGCCCCACTCCCAGACCACTGAGAGGTGGTGAAAGGGGACGACACCTTTGAAAATGAGTACAGTATTCACTGGTGGAAAGGAGTCTCCTTCTCCCCATTTCATCCTGTCTTCCCATCAGCTGGGATCCACAACACAGACAATTTTAGGCCTGGATTTTTAGAGAGGATCAAGTGGGAAAATGAAGTTCCTATAAAGTGGCAAATACATTCAGTTTTTTTTTGGAGAGCCACTGCAAGAGAGAGAGGAAAAATGGGAGTGCCACCATCCACATTCCAAATGTGGAGTAAGCTTCACCTCACCGTGCTGTGCAATGCTTTTCCATGAATGATCAGCCTACATGGGCTGATGGCAGTCTTTAGGCAGAGGTCCTGACCCACCTCCCAGAGAGCATTTTGAAAGCCTTAATTTGGGACCTGGGGATTCATGGGACTGGCATAGTATGTGTGAAAGGAAATCTGGAGTGGCAACAGACCTTAAAGCTTTTTTTTCCCCCCCCCCTCCAGACACTCACCAAAATAAAACCAAGAAAAATTATCAGCTCTTCACTATAGTCCACTGAGCAGAAAGGAGAGTGTGGACTCTGTTGAGAATCGTTACATTTATTGCTGACTGGGCCCTAAAATACAAGAACTGTCATACAGCAGTTTTTGCATCTCTCTGACCCTTCTCCATCCCTCTTTCAACACAGTCTCTAGTGCCCAGTATGGATGGTTAGCATAGGAATTTCATGGCAGCCCAAGTATTTTTTTTGTATTGTGGCAGCACTCCTCTCAGAGATCAGGGTGCCAGTGGGATCAGGCAGTGCTTGCACATTCAACCACAAGAGAATTTTATGCCCCAATGAAAATTTTCTTCTAGCTGGAACATTTCTCTGCTATCCAGCTTTGGACCACTTTGAATTTGCCAAGGCAGCATCCTGGGGATAGAAGTCAGGCCAGGAGTCTGCACCAGAGTGGCTGAACCAGCATCATGGCCACTGGGAATGAGACTTCCCCTCTGCATTTGCATTTCCCATCTTTGTATTGCCAGCTTTTCAAATGCCAGAAGGAAGGGAGAGGAACATATGGGAATAGGGAAGGCTTGTTATAATTTACCTAAGAGCCCAGCAGCCCAGACAGCCTCATGCATTCATATTTGGAAAGAACTCTCTTGTGCCAAAATGAAACAGAACAAAACAAAACAAAAATCCCACTGTATGTGGTAATTACTTGGCATTAATGGAACATTGCAGAGTAAATGCATTTAATTTGGTCCCATTCCAGCTGATCTCTCTGGCTCTCCATGTCTTATATGACTGCATCAACTCCTCTCTCTGCAGGTGAACAGAGGACTCGTTACCCTTTCGTTGTTCTAAAGGCTCTAAAGCTGTAGGGGCTTTATCACATGGCTGGAAAATCAGAAGAGAAGCAAGCAGCTTCTTTAGTGACAAACACAGTGAACTCTCCTATTGAGCCCTGCATATGCTGAGAAAGAATATGAAAGAGAAATGCAGCATTGCAGAAGAAGCCAGTGTAACCCTGATCCAGGGTGGCCACAGACTGCCCAGAGCTCCTCAACCAAGACAATGGAGCAAGAAGTTAGCTCCAGGAGCCTGCATACGGCAAGCTTTTGAAGGGACAGCTTGTGAGTGAAAGGGAGCCATTAAACAAGCCACGACAGGGGAAGCACACACTATCAGACTCTCTGCAACGTCTCTCTTTTACAGATTACAACAAAGGCTTTACAATTCCCTTGCAACACAAGATGGTTACGGAAAAAGGTCTGAAAAAATTGTCCCATGGAAACGGGCACAGTTCTTGGAGGTGGTGCATAGAAAATGAAAGGCACACATATGTGTTAACATGTTCCAGTTACCCACTTACACACTTGCTTTCTGGTCACTCCCAGTGATGCTATTCAGACAGCTCCTCTATCTCCCTCCGTTGCCTTTCTAGTCCATCTTCCTGCTCTGGGAATATCCTCGTATCTGTACTGCAGGCAATTGCAGCATACATAAAAGAGAGAAGTAAAACACTCTCTCCCTGTCACCCAGGGTTGGCAGAAGATTTTTGGTGTAGTGACAGACTCCAGATCTTGGATTCAAAGGAGCTATGTCACCTGGCCCGAGATGATGAACTAACCCATTATTTTAAACTGATTTTTGAGCTGAAACGTTCGTATCAGTTTCTATGACAACTCATTGTAGGTCACAGATTTCTAACCCAAGAAACCTCCTAA